AAATTGAAACCAAAATCTGCATATCTACAAATATAAACCAACAAAAAAATAGAAACCAAAACCTGTAGATCTAGATATTTCCTACAATACAACGTTTAGACAGATTCACATCTAATCCTTATCAGATAGCTAATAATAGCAATAAATGAAATATTTTTGATGTGCCATTTTTATGGTTTTTATCGGAATAGCTTATTTCGTAACCAAAACGTTTGATGAATGTAGCTACGATATTTCAAATTAGAAATACCCACTGATTTCTATATATCTATCAGGTGACTTCTTTTGTTTCATACTGTGTGTGTGTGTATATATGTATTCCGGTGTCTAGGAAAACTATTTATACATGATGATTACAGAATCTTCTCCAAAGTTGTACATTTCTTAAACTGTTTAAGTTAACCTTATATCAAGTTACCCGATGTCTTCACATTGAAGAACATTTTTTAAGCTTTCGAAGAGATATAATTTAATAGGCAAATATTTTCACAATTCACAAGCGAAAGGAACTGAAAGGAATATTTACAAAAACTATAAAAAACTTAGAACTGTCACGTGAGAGTCTAATTCTTGCTCTATCCAATTCCTTTTTTGTTAGATGTTCTCAAAGCTGTGTTTCATTACTAAACGAGTAAACCATAACAAGGTTTCAACCAAGACCCACAAAAACAAAACAAAACTCTTGAAAATTCAGAAATAATATATTCCTGAACGGCATGCTCCAATGTCAAGTTGCCAGGATTGTGAATTCTGTGATTCATTGCTCTCGTACGTTTGCTGCAGGGCCCGGCATGGCCAGGTGGGTAGGGTGCTCGGCTCGCAATCAGCGGGTCGCGGGTTCGAATCCCCGTTACACCAAACATGCTCGCCATTTCATCCGTGGGGGCGTTATAAAGTCACGACCAATCCCACTATTCATTGGTAAAAGAGTAGCCCTAGAGCTGCCTCCCCTCTAGTCTTACACTGCTAAATTAGGGACGGCTAGCGCAGATAGCCCTCGTGTAGCTTAAAGCGAAATTCATAACAGACAGACAAACAAACCGTTTACTGCAAAAACTTTCTCCTCTCTTTGGGGTCGTGGGTAACAAAAATAATTGTTGTCAAGGCTTAATTCCCTCTAGTATCTTAGTTCAAAATTGCCATATTCCATATTTATAGTGGGCATATAACACATAGCCTATTGTATAGCATTGTGCTTAGCTCCAAACAAGCAAACAAAAAACAAAAGTTCAAAATTAAAGGCCCATCAGTGCCACGACTGGAATGTCTGCTAACTTATACTGCTAGAAAGTGGGTTTCGATACCCATGGTGGACACAGCACAGATAGCCCTTTGTATAGCTTGTCTTAATAAAAAACAACAACAATCAAAATTAGGGACCATTATGCACAGACACATTGATCTTTAGTTGTTACGTTAGTTGTTTCGTAGATCGTTAAAACTTTATTTTAATTGGTTTGCGGCTTCCTGGAAGAGGATATCAGACGAATAAACTGATTATCACGCTCACCGGATTTGAGCTCGATTGAACATGTATTAGATTCAAAGAACTTATGAGTGAAAGTAAAGAAGAATGGTCTGAGAGGCGCATGATTTATATTCAAGCAGCATTGATTCGTTCATTTCAAACATTCCACACGAAAGTGCGACTTATGTTAGTCTCCGAGGTGATTATATGCTTTATTAACAAATTTTTTCTCATAATTTAAACTACAAAGTTTATAGTAACCGTCCCCCAGTGTAATAACAGTAACTTGCAGCGTTAAATTCGAGGATTCGATTCCCCTCGGTGGACATAGCCCAGTGTGACTTTGCACTAAAACAAGTCTGTAGTGCTAGATGAATCTTTACGAGTACGGATTCTAACAGTAGCCATTTGTATGTTCGACCACACGACTGGTAGCTTGACACATATTTGTATAAAAATAAACTCAGGTGTTGAAAGAGAAATATTCTAGCCATGACAAAACACGACTACTGTTCTTGAATAATGTCAGTGATTTTCGTGTAACGTTTCAACTAAACAGCTTAAAACAAGTTATATTTATAGGATTTTAACTGTCTCAAATATGGACTGCTATACATTATATGTAGCTATAATAAAGCTTCTATCATCAGTGGTGTAGGAAGGAGTTGCAAAGTGAGGGTGCTGGCTAGACATGCAGATATTACAACGAGAAACTGAAAGGATATGATGCTGCTAAAAACATGAGGAAAAGTAATTTAATAATATAATGTACAGTTGCCATATAAGTTAAAGTGGAGGTGCCACAGCACCTTCGGTTCCGACGCCTCTGACTATTTTGTTTTTACCCACAGTATTTAACTTGAAATATTTTATATAAGAACGAAATTTTGAACGGTTTGATTTAAAGGTATTTCAGAAATCAATTTCTCTGTGATGCCCCCATGTTTCACATCTAGTCGTCGGCGCACAGAAAGTATAGCAGTCCATATTTGAGACAGTTAAAATCCTATAAATATAGTGTATAGCAGTCCATATTTGAGACAGTTAAAATCCTATAAATATAGTGTATGGCAGTCCATATTTGAGACAGTTAAAATCCTATAAATATGCCAAACGGTAACGTGATAAATTTTCAACTATATGGTTTTCTAAATGTTTTAATTAAGTGGTTTATATACTGAAGTGACGATTAATGTGTGGAGGTGCTACCAACTATCAAAACTTTGTAGTTTAAAGTTTCATTCTATTTTTTGTTATTGCTTGTTTGTTGTGATGCATAATGCTACACAAGAGGCTATATGTGCTGTGCCCACCATGTATGCAGATTAACTCCACAAGGTATAGGACTCTTGTGATTCAAAACTATCATTGACCATGCACATATAACATGTATGGATACAAATGTTTTAAGGAATATAACGGTTGTGATCAAAACTAACATTTGTCATGAACATATGTCATTCATGGAAACACTTTTCAAGGTATAGAATATTGTGATTGAAATCTAACATCTGTCATGCACACAACATATACATGAAGACAAACCATTCAAGGTTTTGGATGTTGTGATTAACACAACATATACATGAAGACAAACCATTCAAGGTATAGGATATTGTGATTGAAATCTAACATCTGTCATTCACAAATAGCATGCATGGAGACAAACTTTTCAGAGTATAGAACTGTTTGATTCAAAACTAGCATTTGTCACGTACAAACAATATACATGGGAAGACAAACCATTCAAAGTGTACGATGTTGTGATTCAAACCTAGCATTTGTCATGCACATACAATATACATGGAGACAGACTCTTCAAACTACACGACTGTTGTGACACAAAACTACGAACGAACAATTAGTTTTCTTCTTCTTACATCGCCATACAAATATTTGCAGAAGTTCTGCGAATGTTTTCAAAATATCATAGTCTCGACCAAATTTCAAGCTTCGTCTTTTTATGATTAAAATATTATATTTTATTGTTTCTTGAAGTGATTGTTTAATTGTTCTTTTGCACCTATAATAATAATATTTTTTTAGACGGACTGGAGTTTTTAAAATATATTTGTTTTTACTGGTACAAACCAAAAGTTTCGTATAACAGTTTAATCCGTTAGCTGTTATACGACAATATATGATTAAATGTGTTATTGTGATATAACCAGTCGAGTTTTACCGAGTTGATTTACCGTTTTCAATCACTGACAAAAAGTAACTGATATGATGATTGAACATCAGCTGCTTGTAAACGGAGATCGCCTTTCTAAATGTTACATGTGATTAAACTTCGATTCAAGCCACAAGAGGTATTGCGACAAGATTTATATTGATGGTTATGTTTACACCCTGAAAATAATATTCGCTTTATGATCAGTATAGTGTAGCAAGTGATTATTTTAACGTATTCGCTACAAAAGAAAAATGGTGGCGCTTTACAAACAATAAAAAGAGACAGTTTCTCTAGCTCGACACATTTTCGTTTCAAAGTAGAAACTTTGGTTTACGTAAAAAACGATCAATTATATAGCTTATCAAGTTTAATTTTCACTTGTCTTTAACTAGTAACAATGGCAATATGCTTATTCATTTGCCTGTTGAATGAGATAAGAATGAGTAATAACGAATACACATTTTTTCCTCAAATTTCCACTAACTAACATGATTTTTTTTTCGAAGTTACTTGATCACGCACTTTTTTTGTATGTGAGAATTCCCTCTATATTCTATATTGATAAGTATTATCAATAATAGTTAAAATATGGTTTTTGTGCATAAAAAGAACTAAAAGTTATTCTCCGGCTGAAATATGAATCACTATAATATCTGCTTATTATTTAGTTATTCGTTTATTATTGGGACCTACAATTCAAATAATCAGAATTATTTTACGCTTCTTATTTGGCAAGATTATATATACTATTATTTCATATATTTTACCTAATACCCCCCTCTTTTTTTGTAAGAAGAAGATTACAAATTAATATTGTTTTTACACAGAAATCGTGGCGATACTAGTTTACCTCTTATGGTCAGGATGATGAAACTAAACTGGTGATTGTGGTTAGAATGATAAAATTAACTTGAACAATGTTGTTCGGATGAGAGACAAATACAGATGATTTTTGCCACTTATGTGTCTACGATAATTATCTCTTAAACCGTATTAATAATAATAAAACACAGTAAAATAGCTTGAAATCTAATAGAGTTGTATGACTGGTATCAATACTGTATTTCATGCTATTTCACTTTCGCATATTTCCGTTTTGTGAAAGGATTTTTAAGCAGCATTTATAAGACCAATAATGGAATTGTGGCACATTTAGCAAAACATTTCCACAACTATTAGCAACACTTCACTAAAGACAAACATTTTTATAACTTTCACTGAACTTTGGAGTTTTGTTAGTTTCCCACAGATTTTTTAATTGGATTATATATATATATATATCGTTATTTTTTACAGCGTTTTACGATCATACTGTAAAATATTGCATTTAATGAAAGGAGAACATTAAGCACTCACCTGAAATACAGAACTTTAATTGTCATTTTAAGGTACTTTGTTACGCTCACGTGCCGGATATTTTACAGTGTTTGCACGTACCCTAAGGCCTCACGTGTCTACTTTTCGTTGTAACTGAAATAAGCAATTCTTCACTTCTTCAAAAGGATCTTCCTTCCAAGTGAACTTCAAGTTTAACACACTAAAATTCGTTTGAGGTAAAAACAGCGCTATGTCAATTGGTTCCCGAGTCCAAAAGCTTCTGTTGGTTCACAACGCCTGAAGCTTCTCTGATTGTATTTGTTCTTTGACCACCTCAAGCCTATTCACAACTTTTCGGAACTCGCATTTAACCAATGGTGAGGCACTCTACGCCCATTGACTGAAAATATGTCATGCGTAATACACACAAACAGAAAATCACAAACAATATGAAACAAGCAGTCATGTTCATATAGTAATCAACATGTTTTTTCAAACTATTATGTAAAACCGAAACTCACAAAACTGAGAGAAAAGTATATATTTATATCTCAACAGACTTGATATTAAGACAATTGAATTATTGTACATTTTCAACGTCTTATGATTTTGTCTTTTTGGAGATTTAATCTGATGCAGGAAAGCAGAGAATGAGGGTTGATAAAAAATATACAATTGTTGTATCAAAAAATGTTTTAAATAAAAGATAATTCGTAACACGTTATTGTAGATTTTTGTAATTCATCGATTCACGTGCATGAAGATATTACTGTTGTTTCTGAATTGTGCTATTTCTTTATACATATATTGAATAGAGTATATATATATATATATATATATATAGT